ATGTGTGGGGCAGAGTTGGTAAATGTAGATATTATGGAGAAAATGTTAGCTGGCAGAAGGGAGACAATGTTACAGAAAGGGCATGTAATTCTGTGGAATTACATTTGTTAAATTAACAAGAAATATGTGACAAATGGAATGAACATATATACCTGTTATTCTAAATAAAATAATCTGATTTTCCTAAGGTGGATTAGTTGATCAATGTAAGATTTTTTTCATTAATTTATATGAAACAAAGTAAATAAACATATCCAGTTTATACTATCATGGCTTGAAAGCATAAAATCTATGTGGACACTTGCAGAACCACACTTAATCAATTTTGATTGGGATCAAAATGCAGAGCCACAGTCAATGAGGATTATTTCCAACAACCATACGGAAAGAACTAGCTTTCCCAGGCAGTGCTAATTTCATGATTTACTTACACACTTCCTGTGGTAGAGCTGCTGTCAGTGAGAAAAGACCCATTAGTCCTTTCCATCTGGGCCAGTCTGCAAAATGAAAATGAGGAGGTTAGGTAATGTGTCCGCATAGGACACGGTCAATTGGAGGCATATCCTCAGTCATCCTTACATTGTCAAAATTCCGACAAAACATAGAAAGGTCCAAATCTCTTAACAAGACTACAAAATTAAAACATCTAATGTTGAGTTACATTTCTATCACCACTGCCTTAAAGCCTGTAGGCCTTCATCTTATGCTGCGGTGTTGAGTCTCCTAAATGATCTCCCCGACCTAAGCTCTCCTTAGCCCTCTCGTTGGTCTTGAACGTTAAAGTGAGGGTTACATTTTCACACAAATCTAATGACGTCCCTCTCATGCTTAAAGACTCTCTCTGACTTCCCTTTACTGAAGGACACGCTCCAACTCCTGAGCAGCTGGGACCTTCATTATCAGACTTCACCTAGGCCCCTATACTCCCTCTCACCTCTTTCCTCTTCCCTACCTACAGTTCAGTAAAAAGACGTTTCTTCCCAGCTCAATGCTTTGGACTATGTTTTTCCACCAGCCAAAGCCTGCCTTTTCCCCAAAATTCTACCTAGCCTAGACCCAGTTCAAATGTTACTATTTTTATGATGCTGGAACTAACCTTTTTAGGCATAGCGAGTTAGTAGGACCACAGATGCTTAGTATATACTGCTTTTCTGAAAGCGTGTGTATACCATCAAGACCAGTCTGTATTTTATATTACTTAGGGACTCTAAAAATAAAGCCCTATCCTAAGACATTAGCATAAATTTAATTCCATATTATAATTCGTATGTGCACCATGTCCTGAGAATATTTTCAATCTCACTTTCCTTCACTGCAAGTGGGTTACATTATCTAAATCCTGCTTGCGCAGTGTTTGGATTCTCATGAGCGCGATAATCACATCCTATTGAGCTTCACTTTTCATAGAATATGGAGCAGGTGTTTGGTAAAGCACAAACTGCAACATGAAAAAGTGAGAGCCCAGATTCAAAATATAGTGGAATCACAACTCCTGCAAAATGACATTCCTTAAATCAAGATATGTTACTGGTGTCAGATTAATCAGAAAAAGATATATTCTGGGCATCAGTGCGGCAGCAGGCTCCAGTCAAAGTTTCTTACCGTGTGGCATATTGTTCTATCCTTGAATGAGTGTCATCGTGAAACAGCTGAGGAGACTGGGAGGGGCTTTAAAGGAAAAAAACAAAGCAACAATTTTATGTCCAAATATTGAAGGTTGTTACTATTAGAAATGTTAGCTTAGTTAAATAATGAATTTGGCATGCAAAGAAACCACTAGGATTATTACCCAGGATGCAGAAATATTATTTTAGACCAAGAGTTTAGTAATCACCCCCATGCTAACACAGCTGATCGAAACATCCGTCTCCTGCAAACGGGCTGTGAATACTCACTCATAGTGCTCTGGCCACATACTGATGAGTGTGATAGGACTGCAGAGAGGGAGAGGGAAACAAAAGTCACAGAACAAACACTTGCGAGCAATTTAAGACGAAAACAGTGGGGGGTGGGGTGGGGTGGAAGATTTTCAATTGTTTTCCACTCAAATATTTAGTTGCCCTGAAAGCCACCATGGGGAAATCAAAAGTAATAGAAGTCACAGTTTATTCTAGAGAAGATGCTGTGTATTCAAGTATCTGCAGGGGCCTTTTCACAGATACTACAAGATATTTGCTACAGGATAGCAAACACATCTTTAAACAGTCTTACTGGGGGAAAAAAAAAACCAGAATGTTCAAAAATAGCTCAAAATTATAAAATAATTTTAAGATAATGTTCTATAATATACCAAGGGGAGATGCAATCATTGTTTTTTTTTTTGGAGAAAGAACTTGGTTAGAAAGGTGAAGTTAAAAATTAAAGACTACATTATATGGTGATGGCAGAAATGCAATAAAATTAGATTTTTCTGATTCTTCGTCCAATTTTAAGTATAAAAATTCAAACCAGGTATACACAAAGTATCTCAACTTCACAGACACACTGAGAAAACATGCAACCTAGATACCCCCCACATACCTTGCCAAAAAGGTCACATTATCAATGAAACTGAAAGCAACTTTTCTAGATCATGATACACTTTCTCAAGCAAAATTTTATCCAAAAGCTCAGTCTCTGAACTGATACAGGAAAACTTGTTCTGCTTGAATCAGGGGCTTGAGTCTGGAGCCAGATCATTCAGTATCACTCTTAGCCCTGGGGCTACCCCTCAGCCTCATACACTGAGTAGGAATCCCCAAGTCCCCATGAAAATATCTTTGAAAACAACTGAGATGAATTAAAAGCTAGTTCAAACCCTAATTTTTGGGGGAGAGGGGTAACTTAAAAAGGGGAAATATAAAAGTACAAAGAAAATTAGTTCTTTATTTAAAAAATAAGTAATGTCTCCCGCAAAAGCTAACGCTGATTGAAACAAAATCATTACAGACCTACTAGATTTTCTTATTTCAATTATACAGACATACTTAAAAAC